TTCACGCAAGCGTTTGCCTGCTCTTCGAGCCTGTTGCCAACCGATTTCAGTAAGTACTTTCTTATCGGAGGTTTCTGCCTCGGTTTCATACTGTCCATGACGAACAAGGATTAGTAGTTTGGAGTAGGTTCTTGCGGGTTCTTTGTCTTTATCAAGTACTAAAAAGGTATACTGACTGACATGAGAACGGTAAGATGACAAGGAGGCAACATTCCGTCTTAGTAGTATGGCTACTTGAGGGGCCTGAAGTAACATCACAGATGGTGGTAATACTACTCATGGTAGAATAATAATAATAGATGTGACAGGTACCATTTACTGTAGTAATAATGGTGGTGGTTGTGTAATGGTAGTAGCAATAACTACTACCTCAATAGTCGAGGCGGCGTGCGACGTTCTAGGTCGCGGAATCTTGACGCCAAACAGGAGGCCACGAGAGACAAATATTTTTGCCAAAATGCTGGATTAATTAAGCAACACGCATTCTACATCTGCGCCAGCAGTCAATATGACAAGAACGATGTCGCGAGCACTCACGGAATTGACAACATAGCCAGTTTACCTTGCTCAACAGCCTAATTTTAAACATCCAGAATTTTTTGTTACGTCCTCTCAGAGGACACTGTCAAGATTTAAAAATTCAGCAGCCTATGAATAAAGTAGGAGAATAATAGAGCAGAGAGGTCTAAGCCAACTCCCTGCAATTTTAAGCTGACGCAATCCATAGTCGGGATGAGCAGCTCGACGGAATTTGTTAAAGTGATAGGATGCCTAGACTTTGTGTACAGATTCAGTGTGAACAAGCGACTGCCTTCGATTACACAGGCTATAGGAATGGGTAGCCGGTGCGATTACGATAACAAGAAAGATTGACACAGTATGTTGACACGCATGAACAGGTCAGTACTTAGCACACCCACACTAAGCAACATTCAACCGAACAGAAAGGTTGAGGAAGGTTTTATCCTGGCGTGTAAGTTTTGTCGTGATCAAACAACCTCCGTAGCACCAGTGGAGACGCTAACGCCTTTATTGTCGAATCTATAGCTGGCAGCTTGCTTTCCTAGACCCCAAAATGTGTCGGACTATATAAAGCATTGAGCGAAATGCTTAAATAGGACTCCAAATAGGTAAAAGCTTCTAACTGAGATTATTTTTCATGCAGTGGTGTTCTGCGCTGACTTGGAGGAAAGAATTATCGCGCAGTGGAAAGAAGGGCGCCTGAAATCATACTTCGGGATGGAACAAAGATTAAAAAATGCACAGCCCTTCGTGACTTAAAATAGCCAAATGAAGACAACTAGAAGTAAGTATAACTTGCAAAACACAAAATTACTGTCAATTGTCTAGAATAATTAAAAATGAAAATCGAATTATTTTTTAAAAATTTGCCACTAATTATATTTCTTGGGATGCCTTCCAATTCATAATAGGGTAAGTACAGTTGTCAAAGAGTATGTACGTTTATAAATACACTCAGATATTTCGCGACCATCTTCTAGTGCTAAAAATAGCTGGGAAAAAAGAAGAGCCGATCCCCCTAAGTGAGCTGTGGAATGCCTTAAATGATACCAGTTTGTTCTGTCTCGGTAAACTCAAAGACTTTTATCAGCAAATACATCAAAAACACTGTTTCAAAGGATAAACACGTTTAATGACGGCAGATACCTACGATTAGGTTTACCGACACCAATAACGTACAAAAATGCAATCGCAATTGAAGACCAACCTGCAGAATTATTGTCCCATGAATGATCCCATTTGGATGACTGTGGGAGTAACTGCTTGCAAGCATCGACAAAATAGGGAGTTTCTTTACTTTCATTAGTCGACAGGAGAGTTGCTCCAGCAGCCGCTAGTGCTACCGTGATTTTAAAGCCGCGAAAAAGCTGCATAATTTTCTCTGGCCAGCCAGTGTAAATGTACGGTAAATGGTGGAGCAGCAGGATAAAAAACTGACCCGATTTCTCTTCACAAGGCTTAAAGGTTAAGAATAATTTAGTTTTACGATAACAAGACGAGAAAGGCAAAGGAAAATCCAAACACTGTTCAATTGTTGCAGTGAGAACGACAAAAATTCCTTGATTCTGTGGCCGCACCTTTTCTGAGTCGTCTACTGATTCTAAAGCATCCGCGTTAGATTTCAAAGGGCGGACAGATACAAAGTAATGGGGTCACTATGGATGCAATGGCTGAGGTGTGGCATGAAGAATATAGGGTATATAGATAGTTACAGTTTGTTTTTGAAGCACTACAATGAACGGGCCAAACGGCGATCCGTCGTTGTTGTCTCGTGAGACGACAATTGTTTCAAAATATCTCCCGTAGAATTCTCCAACGGCGGTGACAGTCCACAAACACCCATCGTGATCAGGCTCTCCTTTGATGTGCCGTCACATTGCGGACTTCAGTGTTCTCAAAAGCAAACTGTTCTCAACAGTCCACGTCAAATATCATATCGAATCTGAGGTGCTTCTGAACTTTGGTGAGTCTTCCATATAGGAGCGCAGTCAATCGAAAAAAGGAAGGAGCCGGAAATCTTTTCATGCCTACACTTCCAAAAGGCTTGCGTTCAAATTAAATTGCTGAAAAGCGTTGGCTGGAATGGACAAATGCCTATCTATCGGCCAAATATTTTTGAAATCTGACGGTAGCAGGAGGCAAGCAAGGTCATTTAAGTAGCGTAAAGCAATAGGAAAATAGTTCTGGTTTATTCACAGTCAATAGTTGCAGCTTACAAAAACATAACATGAAATAAAACCACTGCAAACAGATATTTGTTTTGTTCATAACCAAACCTAAGTACAATTGGTACTTTCAAGACTATTTGTCCAAGGCGAGGCTGACTGTCACGTATATGACTTCGTTTGCCCATTCAATAAAACTCGATGATAACAGCCAACAAAAATCAAAAGGTAAGTGTTTGAGGAACTATTGTAAACAGAAATAGTCATGTTCATCAATCTTTCTAAATTTAGCAAGTAAGGTCTTAAGACCTGACCATGATGGG